TACACAGGAATTGGGAGTACCATCCCCCCGGCCTCCGCTTCTACCCCGCGCGCGCCAACGCAGGCGAGCGCCGGACATCTGCCTCCGCTCGCCATCGCGTTTATGTTATAAGTGGCGCTCCAACCCGTGGCCGCGAATACTGTGTAAACCAGTCTGAGCTTGTCCGGCCGTTAACGATTTTCCGGTGTTCCTGTGTTTCTATTCTCTTGTGCTTACCTATGCACCAAGTGGCAAGTGAAAATTCCCCGTGTAAAGTACGAACGGACGCTATCTATAGAAACACAGCCGCTCGGCGTAGTATCGCGGGTTCGATGCTGTACACCCTTTTTTACGTTTAGGTGTTAAGTTTAAATCGCAGACTATGTCGGTTAGACTTGCTGATGGTAGTACTCGAATATATACTGTACTGTTAACATGTCTTAATGAATTGTATGTCTTTGTATGTGTGCCTATTTTCGACAACCTGGGTAACCCCAGGTTGTCGAAAATTGTCATTTGAATCTTATAGATAATTAGTTGTCCGGCTTCTGTAATTGTTGCGCACATTTTTAATTGTTGCGCTTATAGTTTTTTAATTATTTCACAAAAACATTTCCTGCTGGGGTAACGTTACCCCAGCCGAAACGTCGAAATGTCGAAACTATCGCGACTGATCTCTTTGGCCCGCTGCCTAAAGGACCCCAAGGTGAGAGATGGATCCTCATAGCGGAGGACACCACTAGTAAGTGGGTGGAACTCTTCGGTGTCGTCAACCCACGAATTTCAGGAAGGTGACTTAGTCCTTATGCGAGCACGTGAGTCGTGCTCAGTAACGCAGGAAAAGATGTCACCAAAGTTCAATCCTAAACACGATGGGCCATACGTCGTTACCAAAAAGGTGAGTCCTACCACATACCTTCTAGGTCATACTCAGACTGGAAATCTTCGGTAAGTATCACGTGACCGATTTGCGTCCTTACCATGCTGGAGAGGGTGAATGCCCTGAGCCGGTCTTCCCTAAACGTAATAAAGGTCGACCTCGGAAGGTGACCTAAACGCGGCGTTCTTATTATTGTTGTTTGACCATTCGGGAGACTTCCCTGGTCAAAAGGGGGAGAGTGAAACACGCCGCTTTAGATAATTATTAAGTTGGCACCATTGTACGCGGGAATCGGGAGTACCATCCCCCGCCCCCGCTTCTACCCCGCGCACGCCAAGGCGAGCGAGCACCGGGGAGTCAGTCCGCCTCCGCTCGCCATCGCGTGATGCAATGTTAATGTTATAAGGATTATTTTTTCGTGTATTTTTTATTTATATCAATCGAAGTGCAGTTGCATCACCAATGCAATCAATGCATCTTTGCCAACGCAGAGGCAGTTTATTGATGCTCTTTTTAAAGGGCCAGCAAACCAATATCATCCGCCCTACTCACCAGACGTTGCGCCTACAGTATTATTAAAATGTTATTACGTTTATTTTACCTTAAATTACCAAAATGTTTCTGCAAGGACTCTCTGGTATCAACGCTGGCAACATTGGCAAGGGCAAATAAACGCAAGTCCGGGAATTTAGAAAATGCTGCTTTCTGCAAAAAAAAAAAATACAAACAATAATCATTACAATACTTATAATGCTATAATTAGCAGTCTCATGCAAAATTCATAGAAATGTGTAGTTTTTGATATTCCGAAAAATAAAAAAATATTGAATTTCACAACGTGTCATCGCCACTACCAAAAACAGTAATTTAAACTTTGTAAGAAATAAAATGATATAATTATGAATCATTTTACGATGACACGTTGTGAAATTCAATATTTTTTTATTTATAACAAATTACTAATATATAACAAATTGCATATGTATTAATGAATCATTGATTTGTCATAAACTCAAGACCCACTTAATTACAATATTATTATAATTATGCAAATTTTATTTGCATATTGGACTGCACGGTTGGCGCGGTGGCTGGGTAACCGGCTGCCGCGCAACGTGTAGCGGGTTCGATTCCCGCACGGAACAACTATTCGTGTGATCCATAAATTGCGATTTTGGCATGTATGTTTTTGTACACACTAAGGCTTCCAGTCTCGATACATTTTCGAGTCCCGGGAAAAAAAAATCGAGACTGGGTCCGGTCCCGGGAGTCCCGGGAAAAACGAGACTTTCGAGACTAAATAAGTTTCATACTCAAGGTTTATACAATTAGGCAAATAAAACAATATGTTTCAATTATGCACTTTATTAATCAACTATTACAAAAAAAAAACAAATGTATTATATAAAATTAACATTTTTCATTTTTAAAATATGCACGCAGAAAGCAAAGGGCATTCAATGACTTTTCAGATAAAGAGGATCTGATTTTGTTACAAAAGTACCCTGCATTTGAAAAAGCTCTCTCTGCTTCGACACTAGTAGGGGGGATGGATAGTAAATAATTATAGCACTGATTTAAATGCTTACCTCTGTCACCACCGTTCTCAAAGAGAGCTTTTTCTACATGCAAAGTCGTTTGCAAGTCATGAGTGTTGCCACGTCACTTAATTAAAATAATAATGGTAGTTTAGTAGATTTTTTTAGTAGATTGGTATTTTTTGTAGATTATTTAACTAACTCTCGAAAGTCTCGAAATTCTCGAAAATTGGAGCTGAGGTCTCGAGTCTCGAAAACATGAAAAAATCGTCGAGACTCTCGGGATTTTCGAGACCGAGACTCCCGGGATGGAAGCCCTAGTACACACCACACATCAATCTATACAAAACCAGTTTACCCTGGTGTCGCGTTGCATCATCTTTCCGCTCATTTAACGTTCAGTTTATACTGATTATGTAAAGCTCGGTGTGTAGCCGTGTATACAACGCAAAATATTTTTTTTTTATGATTTTAAACACATACCTGAAGTGAAGTTATTCTGGAATAATGTTGTAAAGTCATGTCTCTATCTGTCATGGGATCTCCTGTTTCATCACTTATTTCAAACCTGGCATAAAATTTAAGCATGTTTAAGAGCTGAAACAAAGAATAAAAATTTGTTAATATAGAATACACATAACGTGGAGATATAGAATTGATGAATTTTATTCAAGGAGGTTTATTCTACAATGCTATGTGTTGGAGACTTCGTAGAGCTGGAACATAACTGTCAAACGGAGTTGTGGATACAAATGACATCTGTGGTGTTGGAAAGAGGACGGTCACGCACACAAACTACATCCAAACTAATATTATAAATGCGAAAGTAACTCTGTCTGTCTGACTACTGAACCGATTTGTGTGAAATTAGTTTGGAACTTGAGAAAGGACATAGGATAGCTTTTATTACAAAAATAACATAAAAAATAAAATTTATCTGGTCATACAGCGCCATCTATTGGTCAAGAGTCGGCATCATTTCAGTACTGCAAATTCAACAGAAAAATGTAAATAAATAGTAAAAAGGTATGAAAAATATATATAATACAACTTTTAGTACAAAGAAAATGCTCTAACGGAGTATAGATAATTCTATTAGTACTATATATCGAGTTGGTGATCGCGCAATGGTGTCGATCGTTACACGAGTTCGGTTCATGTTATTGTTTTAATTCATCGGAAGAAATTAAATAAATAGTAAAAAGGTATGAAAAAAATAATATCACTATGATAAAACTTTTAGTACAAAGAAAGTGCCCGAACGGAGTGTAGATAAATAATCCGAGTTACTGTCGTGGAATTGTGGATTGATCGTTTCGTAAATATAAAATTGGTCCCGTTGTTGTAATAGTAGATGAAGAGGTTTATTTGTTGGATTGTCTGGTTGTTGTCTAATGTATGTTTAGTTTGATCACGATTAGAAGATACTAAAATTGTATGTCTAAATTCATTTTAATTTTTAAATTAATTAGATCGTGCCTTATAAATTGGTTATTAAAGGTTATTAAGGGAACAGGTTGTAATATAATTTCTTTAAAATTGTTATCCAAGTTCGTAATTCTTTTTTTTTATAATTATTTTGTTTTCAGACAGTTTTCAATTTAAGTTCGGAAAGATTGTAATATTTCTTTAGTTTAAGTTCTTTTTTCAACTACGTTTTTCAATAACGAGAAAACGCAAGTCCAATTTAGCACGTAGTTCCAGCGGAGCTCGAGCTAAAAGAGTTGCAAGAAGTCAAGAGTCTCAAGAACAGACTCAAGCCTGTTTAACTTTAGACGCCGAGCGTCACGCTGCTCAAAGAGCTGCTGAGACTGAAGAGGTGAGGCAGGAGCGACGGCTCTTAGACGCTGAGCGTCACGCTAATCAAAGAGCTGCTGAAACCGAAAAACTTAAAATGTGGGTAAAACCAAAAATCTCCCGGAAGTCACTATTTCACGCGAACGAAGTCGCGGGCAAACGCTAGTATTTTCTATATAAGACAGTCTCGCGTTAATATTCACATAACCGATTAGCTCTTGAAAATTATTAATTAATATTATAATCAAACATTGTTGCTGCCAATTAAGTGTCTTTGATATTAAATGGCAGTTCTATAAACGGTACAGCAGAAGTCACCAACTGAATGAAATACACTCGCCATCCGGACTCGTCTCCGGCATACATAACTATTATTATGTATAGTATAATGGGCTACTTACAGAAAGGGACAGAACTATACTTTGGGTCATTCAGAATATCATATTTGTTACATGATACCTGATGACAGATGTGTCTTAATAATGGTGGCCATCCACGCTAAGTTTTGTTTGTTTAAGTACTACTAACGTAAAATGTCCCAGTTGTTTTTATCCTGGAAATCCCACGGGATCCCGTTCCTATAAATTAGTAATTCGTATGAAATTCGCCACAATGTAGTTACATCCCGAAAAATTCATGGAAATGGGAACTGTACGGTACCTGTATAACCGCCTGTTTAACCTGGAAATAAGATATAGTAGAGCTCCGCTCAAACTAAAGGAGTGTTTACAACAATAGTTGTAAACATACTGAAGGCAATCGGTAGTAATATAGGATATATATATACGAAAATGTTCTGCGCGTGTCTGTCTCAGTCAGCAATAAGCTGTTGAGTGTAGCACTAGCGCACGGCGCGAGTGTACGCCAGAAAATATTTAATCACGTTTTCGTAACGTTACGTTTATTAGCAAGTAAACCATGTACATAGTAGTAAGTAATGCTGTGATATTTCGAAGTAATTAATATTTATATTGTTTTGTGTATAATACCTATAGTACAAGTGATAATATAACGAAACAAAATGGAGTTAAATTACATTCAAACATTATTTTTGTTTGTTGTTGTTGGACTGGACTATGTTATAGCCGAAAGCAAGTGTTGTCCACCAGGACAAGTTCTACTTATGAGAAAGGATGTGTGCTGGGAACCAACAGCTAATGTCACGGAACCAATACCGTTAAAGTGTAAAGTGACTATTAGGTTCATAAAAAATTATTATCTCAATGATAAAAACCAACTGAAACTACATCTAGGAGAGGATTTCGATGATGAAACAGTCGACACTAACTCGTAAGTGACAACAGTATAACTGTTATTATTTATCTAAATACAACGGTACAAAACCAATAACACTGTCACTCATATTTGTATTAAGTATACACTATACAGGGTACACAAATATGTTAAAAAGGAAACAAAACACTAATATACTAATGTATATGTATATGGAGTATTATGGAGTCATCTAAAGAAATCTATGTATATATAAATGAATCTCTTTTTCCCTTGGTCACGGCATCACGCGTGAATGGCTGGAAATAGAAATAAAGATGAACTTTCCAAACAACAAAACTTGCTTGCTGTAAGCAATTGAATTTTATTACAAATATTTATTTTTCGCGGGCAAAGTGCGAACAAGACAGCAACAGCTGAGACAGCTATTAACAATTCGGTTATCAATTCACAAGCGACAGCGACTAGCGGATGTAAAATATTTTATGTATAAAAACTTTAAAAGGTGATTTAAGAAATTATAACGTCAAATGCACCTAAATAAATAAATGCAATTAATCCACTGCATGCTATATAATATATCATTCTGACTAATATAAAAGAATAGCTTAAAAATAAATAATTCATTTTTTAACCAAATATTTAATGTCATTTTAGATAAATAATCATTATTATTACGAACGGTTTATATGGAAATCAAACTCATCAAAACTTGAAGTGACGCATGACGGCACGATATACAAATAATCAACAAGAGCGAATTTAGGAAGGATCTGTCACGTAGTTGCCATGGTGACGGGGTATTCATGCTATGCTAAACGACATTGCCAGTAACTTAGTTTTATTTATGATAACTAACTTTTTTATTATAATAAGTATTTAATTTGGGAATGGAAGATTGAGCCTTCGGGGGATTGTTGGGGATTCAGGAATTGGGATCCCTGAATCTCAACAATCCTCAAATTCCTAATTCCCAAAAAGCCGATTACGTACTTGTAACGCCTCTGGAGTTACGGGTGTACGTAAACGTCTGCTCGTTTACCGGCTTTTCTCATAAAAAAATATAAACAGACTCAGAAACAATCAGATGTATTTCAATAATTTATTTACCATAGAAAAACCTCATTTGTCAGGGAGTTCGTAACGTTCGTATCAAAGTCGATTCGGGAATCGACTTTGACTGACAATAGACTGTCGAACACGTCAGTCTATTGTTACGGGTCTAGGTCTAAAGTATATGTCAATTTTTATATTCGTAAACGCACCCATGACACCGGAGAATACCCAAGTGGGACAACGATTTTTTAAAATAGGATAATTTTTTTTCCGATGTTGCTCTATGACGGAACGCACTATAGAAATAACGAAATATAGTTCAAATAAAAATGATAAGATTTCCTTATTTGGAAAAACATAAACCTTCTCACTGTACCACAGTATAAAAATATACAGTAGGACGACGCCTTTGATCTCGTATAAAATGCCGACATCGTCTAGTCTAGACAGTAACCCATCGGCCAGGGTTGTCAAAAATATGATCTTATGGCACCGACTAGAACTCGGTCAGTAGGTTTGTTTTTGAACTCGGTTAGTTTTTGCTATTTAGTTTTTACTGTTTATTTGTTTTTAGTTTTTTGAGAACTCGGTTTTTTAAACGCAGTATTTATTTTTTATTTTATAATTTTTAGTGTTAAGCTACATAGCAGATCCGTTTTGCCACTTATAATCCACATAGGTACAAAGTTCTAATCAATACAAATTATACAAACCCAAATACATGATAGTTACTGTACACCGTTAAAGAGTTATATTTCGAATGTACCATCAGTTTTATCACCTTTAAACCGCGAAAACAACACCCATGACGATAAATTGAAAATTTCATGCAGCCGCCATCTTGGATTTAGATTCTGACAATACCATCGGTTTCACCACCTTAGAAAACCGTAACAACGATACCCATGACAATTCATTAAAAATTTCGTGCATCTTGGATGTACATTGTGACAGCACCATCATCATCAGTAACTCTCTCTCGCTTCGATTTTGAGACAGAAGCGAAAGGGATATACTTACATAACACTCGCTGCTCGACAACAAATATACTAGCATAGTGCGTACAGTAATGTTAGGATAGGTCAAGTCAGATACGCTGCGGCGTGTAACTTGTGACAACAGTGAATTTAATATTTACAATTATTGAGTTACGCAGAACTTAACAGTTAATTTCTAAAATACCAATGATAAACGCACAACAATTTTACTACGTTTATTAAAATATTTAAATGATCACATTTTCCTTAAATGATTTGATTTAATTTAATTATGGATACTTTATAATTATTTTCTATTTAATTAATGAGGATAAATAGTAGTATATATTTATATTATCACAATAATAGGGTATCTTTATAAAAATAATTGTATTTTTCATCGAACAAAATAAAAATGTATTGTATTGATTTCATTTTAAATTATTAATAATATAAAGTTTTATTTTTAGTAATAATATTTAAATATAATAAATATTTTTTATAATTTTTTGATTATAAATGATATAGTAATTATAATAGAATGAGAAATTGTATCTAATTCATTAAGAATTGTAATATTTATTTTATTAGATTGGATATCTTTATTGTTTATAACATTTGTTTTTTAATTTCTTCATTGTATTTGATTCTATTAAGCATAGGTAAACGTCGTAAATGAAAATTTAAAATAAATTAAGGTGTTCTGGGGGCTTACTCTTGAATCAAATTCCGATCGATCGACATTGGTATTGTGAAATTTCGTACTCTTGAGTTGCAACACTGGCGACCATTGCATCCGTATTGCGTGGATATTGAGTGAACTAAATGTTATTGAGTTAGGCTTTATATTCCGTACTCTGAATGCTATTTTAACAGCTACGATTGTTGTTGTATAGTGTTGACATTGAATGATAATTGAGAATTTATTGGATTGAAATTGCATTGACATTAAGATTGGTTTCAAGAGTAAGCGCCCTGTTCCTACAAACAAATAAGTATTTCAATCTAATTTCAGATTAAAATTAATGATGCAAATTTATTAGTTATTCTATGGGTAACAGGTAAAAAGTATAAAATTATATCCAGTAATACCAACTGCATATATATATACAAATATTATTATGCCTTCTTTTTTTTTTTTTTTAAGGGGGGAAAATCATCGAATGACTGCCCCCGCCTGGGTGAGGCGGGAGGGAGTGTCAGACTCTTACTGACTAAAAACCACCCCGTTCCTTCTCCTGCACGTCGAGCCGGAGCCCCGGTTACCCGTTAGGTTCTCCGCGACTCCGAATCGGCATCGGCCCTATTGGGCCCCATCTGTGGTGGTCTGATGGCTCTTTGAGGCGCGCGCGGAACGCGACGCGCCGTACGCTCGGGTCTGTTTCTGGTCGGACGGGGAGCCACCCATGCTCGCCGTCCGCAGGCCCGCGCTTACGGTGGCCGGAGATCGTCCCGCGATCCCCGACGCCCGGTGTGTCCTTCGCGATGGCTGGGTTGCGAGGCTGCTGGGCTTAGGTACTCTTAAATCCAATTCCAATCGATCGACATTGGTATTGTGAAATGCTACTACCGCCCACTGCATCCGTATTGCATGGATATTTAATGAACTAAATGGTATTGAGTTTGGCTTTATATTCCGTAGTCTGAACGCTATTTCAACAGCTACGATAGGGGGTTGTATAGTTTTTACATTGAATAACTATTGAGAATTTATTGGATTGAAATTGCATTGACATTGAGATTGGTTTCAAGAGTAAGCACCCTGGTCGGGCGGCGAGCCACCCATGCTCGCCGTGCGCAGGCCTAATCATTCAAATTAACCTTAAGTACACGTAAAATATAACATGTTTCCTACGTCTGTCGCGGGCTTGTTTTTCGCCTTTGTATAAAACGCAATATCATTTTAAATGTGTATTTATAAAAAGTAATCTCGTAATCGTGATTATATTAGTTGGTAATCAAAATGTTTAACTACATACTTTTTACGATTATTTAATGTGATCTGTAGTAGTACGCGTTCGGCACTCTGATTGGCCGTCAAGTCAAGTAGGATCATTATAATAAATTAATATCACAAAGTAAAATGAAATTTCGCAATATTTTTCTTAGCTATCAGAAATTTAATAATAAACATCACTTGTACAGACAAGGTTAAAGAAAAACAAAAAATGAATTATTATGATAAAGTATTCAACAACGTAATATGCACTGGCACTGTATTGTTCAAGTCCACAATAGCTAGCAGTATTTGCGAAAAGATCACCTTTAGTTTGTAGTGATTATGAGGAATTTTGTTAAGACTGAATATTATGCCCCATTATAAAATTAGCTGGGAAAATAAGAAAGAAGTTATAACTTATATATATTTTCTTTATATATTTGATGGACCGACGTTAGACCGCATAAAAATATTGTGTTATTTATTTAATATTTAGTATATTATAGAACGTGTTTTAGTAGTCAGGTTTAGTTTTAAACTTTTATAATCTACTAAATATACCTTATGAAATATTATTAATAGTCATCACTAGAGACCGGATAATATGCATTTGCATATTTAAGCGATTTTCAAGGCTAATAGAATATTTTTACTAATATCTAGTGATGATGCATATTATTGCTATAATTTACAGTAGGTAGGTATTTTTCGAGCGTAGCGCACTCGGCAGCCGCGCGTATTTTGTTTTGGTAGGTAC